AAGGCCATGTTTGATTCACAACACTAATAGTGAGGTATTAATAATCCTATTAAATTAGTGTGGTATTAGTTATCCCACCCCTACCCCATTACTAATAATCCTACAAATTTGTTGGATTAATTATCCATTGGATTAATAATCCTAAACTAAAATGTCAAAACAAACATAGGATGATTGGGCCCACGGATTAATAATCCCAACTTATGGTCACTCGAGAAGGTTAAATTTTCTCTTGCTGGAGACAAATATCTTCTCATGTTTTTGACAGGCTTGCTTGGTTTCATGTCAGTTCAGCCCTAAAATAATCTTCTCAAAATCTTCTGATGTGCTCTTTGCTTTGTCAAGGGTCCTCTAAAGTGAATCCATAACCCAGCATTTATGGTGTTTCAAGGGCCAATAAACTATACAATGTAGTGTCATTTCAGATTTTTAAATCAATCCGAAAGGTGAAAATCATATGAACTGTCATCCTCAAGGCATTTTGTTGTCGGTGAAAGAAGTGCATAATTCTAGTGTGCGATCAATAAGAGAACTATACGAAGTCAAAATACCGATGAGATGATCTAGCATCTTTGCATTTTTTTGGTTGAAGAAATATGGCTTTGCTCTTCTGAGCTTGCTTTAGACTGTTATTTACATATTGTATTTATGGGATTCCTTGGACAGGTATGAGCAAAAGTGAAACAGAGCTCTTGGCGGTGGCCACGTGGAAATGGTCTAACCATCTTCTATTCTTAACTTCATTCTTCATTAAAGTTTGCCAGGTTGGATCAACCAAGTCTCAGTATATGATTATCTGACATTCAAGTTTGTATCCAGGAATAGAAAAGATCTTCTATTTGGTTCAGCAATAAGAGTAAGGGGTCTTCAATATCTTTTACTGTGCCTTCACTTGATCTTAAGATTGGGGGGTTGAATTTTTGCGTTGTTTATACACTTCCTGACTATGACGGAGGTTGGGCTTTTGATGAAAACTATCTTGGAATCAGTAATGAAACCAAAGGTCTGAATTGGACCTATGCTCCAATGTTCTTTGGCATGCCAGAAGTCAACAAACACATGATATGGTTGAGCCATTGGAAGTTTGGAAATCAGTTGGAAGGTGGCGATCAAGTGAATGTTTCGTTTGATATGAATGCTTATTTCCAAGTAAAGGAGTGTGGGGTCCACCTTGTGTACGATCAAGAAGAAAAGGTCATCACCGAATCAAGCGTTGAGGAAGTAGTCCAAATCTGTACCTATCCCTGTTATCAGAATGTCATTGATGGAGATTTGTCAGCATATCGGACAAGTGGGGGCTTATTCCTTCTATGCCACTATGATTGCATGATGCGTCGACGATGCTCAATTGATGGATGTGATATAGATGAATACGAGACTACAGGTTTGGGCATCTTCCTATTTGAATCAGTAAAATAATAGAACCTATTTCATCTGGAAAGATTTGGGTTGTTGATGGTCATGAAACAATGCCTTAATCTGTTGGAATTTTTGGTGGTGTGTGTTTTACAGATGAAGAAGTAGAAGATGATGATGAAGAATAGCATAGGGTGAACTGATGGTGGTTGTGGCATGAAAATTAACATTCTCAGATCAAATTAATTCGTCTCAAATCCATTATAATCAAAATGTTGTTACTGATAAAGCATTATTCTTGTGGTAATGTGTTTTTTATGCAGTTTATGGGGTTATTTGGTTGGAGTGTAATGCTAGGATCTTTGAGGATTTGTATGAAGAGGTGGGCTCTTTATGGGATAAATAAAGTCTGTTACTTGGCATCTTTTTGGGTTTCAGCCTCCACTTCCTTTATTCGAATTCCACTTTTATTTTTATTATTATTATTTTTTTTTCTTTCTGTTGAGACATGGGGGCAATTTGTGATTGGCAATGTGAGATTTTGGCAGTCCTTTGTTTTTGCCTTTTTATTTTATTTTATTTTTTGGAGGACTTCTTGTTCTCCCATTTCTCTTGTTCTTCTCTTATTTTGTAATAAAATTTCTTTTGTTGCTGATTGAAAAAAATGTTGTTAGTGATGATTGTAATTTGTAGTCTTATAGGCCTGCCTATCAGGCAAGCTGGGCTTAACTTCCCCTTGCAATGACAGGCATCAAAAAAGGTTTAAGGATGGCTGGGATGCCTCTGCCAGAGTATCGGTAAATTCAGTCTAGGAACTAAAAGGTATGTAATTTCACATTTGATTTTTGGGACCTGACTGAAAATAATTAAAGAGAATTGCAACTTATGGTCACTCGAGAAGGTTAAAATAATCTTCTCATGTTTTTGACAGGCTTGCTTGGTTTCATGTCAGTTCAGCCCTAAAATAATCTTCTCAAAATCTTCTGATGTGCTCTTTGCTTTGTCAAGGGTCCTCTAAAGTGAATCCATAACCCAGCATTTATGGTGTTTCAAGGGCCAATAAACTATACAATGTAGTGCCATTTCAGATTTTTAAATCAATCCCAAAGGTGAAAATCATATGAAATGTCATCTTCAATGCATTTTGTTGTCGGTGAAAGAAGTGCATAATTCTAGTGTGCGATCAATAAGAGAACTATACGAAGTCAAAATACCGGTGAGATGAAGAAATATAGCTTTGCATCTTTGCATTTTTTTGGTTGAAGAAATATAGCTTTGCTCTTCTGAGCTTGCTTTAGACTGTTATTTACATATTGTATTTATGGGATTTCTTGGACAGGTATGAGCAAAAGTGAAACAGAGCTCTTGGCGGTGGCCACGTGGAAATGGTCTAACCATCTTCTATTCTTAACTTCATTCTTCATTAACGTTTGCTAGGTTAGATCAACCAAGTTTCAGTATATGATTATCAACATTCAAGTTTGTATCCAGGAATATAAAAGATCTTCTATTCAAAATTTCAATTCGTGGACTCTATTTTTTCTCTTCCAACCTTAAAATCCTCGTTGACTCGATAGGGAGACCTCATGATATATCATATATGTATAATGTGTGTGTGTGTTTTTTTTTTGTTTGTGCAGACACTAATGTTGCCGTTAGTGTTATTCAAGATGGAGCTGTAAATATCGACATTGGTTTGCACAAAGGATGAATATTGACAATGAAATATATTCGGCCAATGTTCAATACATGCATAACTGAAGCTAGATTGGTCAATCGATCGGCTTTTGATTTGAATATGTTAATGAATATCTGATCTAATAATCCGTTAAAATTTAAATCTGATAGATTCAATTATTGCCTGACTAGATTCGGATAAATATAATATGATCCGATTTAATTTTCGTACTTTAATTTCACTAGTCATTAATTTTATTTCCATAATTAAACCGGTGGAAGGTTGGTGTGTTGGGGCCAGCTTCTGCCATTTTCATTTGGGGCTATAAAACGAACCAAACGATTTGAATTCGACTTGTTAAAAATTTGTTTAAGATTGAATCAGAATGTAAGTAAATTTAATTTTAATATTTTTTAAAACTTGTTAAGTTTTTAAACATGCTTTACGAACTTACTACTTAACTCATTTACAATCCGGTTTCTAGGAATCTTGATGTTACATGATCCATAGATATACAAACAACAAAGTTGATATATATATATATTGAAAGCAAGGTTGGTAAATAGTCCAATCATCTAGTTTCATGTTTCTGATCAATTATGGATCAACGTGTTTGCTTAGGGTATTCTATTTTATATTGTACATGGATATTGGATTTTATGGAACTTGATTACGTTGAATTTTTTTAAAAAAATGTGATTTTGGTTTCTTTATGATTTAGACAGATAGTACAAAGTATCCACTATGGGCTCCAAGACTGCATAGATTTGTTATTCATTTATTTTTAAACTGTGGTTTAATTATGAATTTGAGTAATGATTTGTAGATATAAAGAAAAAAAAAATAAGAAAAAAAAAGGTATTTATATAATGTGTGCTATAAAAGTTCAATTCATGATGACTTTAGAATTTTTCCAACCAATTGGACCGGTGTTATTGACTCTTATCTTGTGTCTTGCTCAGGGCGGCTTTGGCTCAAAGTTGGCAAAGTCGTCGCTTTGTACCCAAAAATTAATTAAGATAGAATGTTCTAAAATATTTTTAGTTATTATATTAATTCATAAAAAAATCTACCTAAATTTAAAAGGTCTCGACAAAATTCGATGTAGATTCAAAACTAATAAATTGTTAATCTAGTAAATTATTTAAAACTAATAGATGATTTTTTTACTCCAAAAAAATAGAAAAGCCTATTGATTGGATGAGTTATTTGACATTAATGAATAATTGTATTCCAAATTTATGAATTGTATTTAGAATGCGATTAATTATGCTAGTTACAATTGTTTCTAGAGAAAAAAGAATCAAATTTAAAATTGAATAAATCTTGCCTACGTCACAACAAAGATTGAATGGATTAATAATTGAATGGATTAATAATTTTATCCACTGAAAAATATTTAGTTGATAAGTTGAATTATATAAGTTTGATTAGCAATTTTGCGAGAATAGTGGTGTTTAAGTGATATTTTGTTACAATTTGTTTATTTTTGATACTTGAGTTTAGATTATTTTAGACATTTTTCTTATTGTTAACTTTGTTGTATATTTAAGTAAATTTTATATCCAAAAAAAAAAAATGATAGATAATCTTCTAATTACAAATTTTTTTCCCTTAAATATATAAAAGGCTCCTTATCGGGAGCTCGTTTTGGGCTCAAAAAATGTCAGAGCCGGCCTTGGTCTTGCTAATAAAAAATATGGATTAAAAATAAGAAATGTTACTTCTAGTCGATTTATATATATAATTTTTATTTATTTATTTATTTATTTATGTTGTGTGTAAGATTTGATATATATAAAAACACTTAAATATGTCAATTATAAGAAATTACCCTGGTAGTTGAAACGCTTGCTTGCTAAACTTATTGCCCGAGTTCACTTCATATTGCTATGCCATACAAATTTATTTCTATCATTTAAAAATAATAATAATATAGGGGTATTTTTTTTAAGGTCCCTAATATTATGATTTTATAGTATAAAGGACATCAAATATTTTCATGATGTCTAAGGTCCCTCAACATCAATCCAGAGAAAATTGGTCCAGAGAAAATTCAAGTCAGAGAAAATTGGTCCAGAGAAATTTTGAAAATTTCTTTGGACTTCCCTAAACTTCCCACTGTAAATTTCTCTGCCCTTTTTTTTTTTAACATAAGAATTCCCCTACCTCAACTCACTTTCTTGCTATACACTGCACCTGAGATGGTCTACAAGACAACTAGAGCCATGGGGCTATATTCCAACGTCAATGTGCTTTACAATTTGAGCTGGTTTTTCCCCATTGATTCTGGTTTCTTCTACCTTGTTCAGCTGCATTTTTGAGAGGTGAATTGGTGGATGAAAAATGTAAACCAGAGGGTGTCTGACATATTCATCAACAATGAAACAGCCAAAATTAAAGCTGATGTTATTGCTTGGAGCAACGGGTACGCAGTTCCAATGTACCGAGACTATGTTGTTTTGGTTCCAAAAGTAAACAATGGGGAGAAGCAAGACCTGTGGCTAGAGCTACACCCAAACACGAAAACAAAATCTCAGTACTATAACGTCATTTTAAATGGAGCTGAGATCTTCAAATTAAGCAACTATGATGGAAACCTTGTTGGGCCTAATCCCCCAAAAAAGGTTGTGGCTAGTTTGCCACCAAAGAAACATAACCCAAAATCATCAAAGAAGATTACCTTGATTATGGTTGGATGTATTCTTGGCGGGCTGCCAGTTTTTCTTATTTTCTCTTTCCTCCTTTATATGAATAGACCAGTTGAAGGATGATCCAAGCAGCTAACATGCCAACGAAGCAATATCACCCTTTTCTCCAGAGAAATTCTGCATGGTTAGAAAAGAAGGTAAACTTAATCAGTATTAAAGTTGCATCACAAGTTAGAACTGAAATTTCTCTGCTTTGAACTGAAATTTCTCTGGGTTGGTCCAGAGAAATTCTCTGGTTTGAACTGAAATTTCTCTGGGTTGGTCCAGAGAAATTCTCTGATTTTAGCTCAGCTTAAACATGATCTGGATCAGCAGTTGGTTGGTCAATTTTGTTTATGACTGGGATTATTGTCAAGTTAGATTCAAAAGCAAGATAAAAGTTATCAACAATTCACTCCATTGAGTAAATAAACAACAATAGCAACATATATATATATATGTAAATTAAAAGCTGGCCCCAAGCTCCAATGCAAAACCACACCAAGAGGACTTCGGGGTAGCAACATAGATGTAACAAACTATCTTGAATCACTACTTAAACATAAAATTCATTGGAACATGATAACTTGATTTTTTGTGTTCCATAAGAGCATGCATCAAATGAAAAACTTGCATGGCTGCCCAATCAGGATAAACATGAATGTTGGTCTGATCCTTTGAATTTTCTCTGGATTGAATCTAGAGAAAATTCAAATTTCTCTGGGTTGAATCCAGAGAAATTTGAGAAATTCTTGGGGCATGAGCTCCAAGACAGACCACAACCTTGCAGCTTCGGTAGAGTTGGATCCCAATTTGGATGTTGAAGCTTCGTTGCAGTCTGCCAAGTACTTTCCAGAAACGTTTTCAAGCCTCGGATGCGTAGCAACGTAGCAAGTCGTCGCAGCGGCCTGAACAAAAATTCAAATTCATTAACACACTTGCACCTACTATAAATACTTACAATAAGATATATAAATTAAGTGTATATCATCAAAAATTTCAGCGAGTGATTAATAAACACTACCTGAGGAATTGTCTTCAAGAACTTGGAAGCCAAGAAGAATACCAGATCTGCATATTTTATCGCTTCAATTTTACAACCTCAAGA